AGAGAGAGAGAGAGAGAGAGAGAGAGAGAGAGAGAGAGAGAGAGAGAGAGAGAGAGAGAGAGAGAGAGAGAATGCATTGGCCTGTCCTGCTCCGACCTTCAAGGGGGGGGAGGGCGGAAGTTATATTTGAATACAGGAATGTTCTCATCGTGAAATTCGAATATAAGGCATGTGCGCAGTATTCGAATAGAACTTAAATGTGTTATATTCGAAGTGTTCTTGTTTTCGAAGAAAATGGTATTATAACTTTTTAAAAATCGTTTTTTTACAACGCATATGCGTTATGTTCGGGGGAAGACGGTAGTGCTTTGCCCAGCTATTGAAGCTGAACCTGAAAATGCCCTGCACGCCAAAAAAAAGCTACCGGGGCGAGCTCCTTCTGGCTGGCGTCGCCAGCCATTTTGCTTTGGAGGCGGAGCCCTGCATTGCTTTGGAGGCAGAGCCCCGCATTGCTTTGGAGGCGGAGCCCCGAAAGTTGAGGTGCGATGGGCACGAAGTGCCCCGTGCCCGGGCTCATGTATGGCCCGACTTCCGAGTACTGGTGGTCTAATGCACCACTTTTACTGGGCTTAGGGGCTACTGGACCACAACTTCTGGTGATTTGGCGGTTCCAACCAGTTTGACAAAGCTTGATGGCTAGCGCGCTTGGAGTCCCTGAAGAAAATGGCCCGGAATTACCGGTGGTTTAGGTGTGACGCCCAACCTCACGCCCAGCGCGACTTCCTGTTCGGAGTACGATGGGGACCCGGAAGTGCGAAAAGGGGTGTGCCAAGGATTTTAAGAAAGTGGGGGTGGAGTCCCAGGTCAGAACCGAGATCTGATGTGACACGTTTTGGGGGTAAAAGCGCAAAAGGGTATGTTCAGGTCGTACTTGGTGCTTTAATTTTTACAAGAAGGAAGGTAGGCCTCCTCTCGTGGTTTGGGCACAGAAGGAAGCCGCAGATGTCGTGCAGCATAAGGCAGATGGCATATGCGGTGCATCCCGGACTAAAGATCCCGGGGTACTCTTCCACAATCAAGGCACGGACAGATCTAAACGCTCGTGCATTCTCAAACAAAATCCCAACAACATTGCCCTTGCCAACAAACTCAATTTTTGTCAGCTTCCAAACCTGAAAATGGAAGTCACCATCTCCTCTGGTTTCACCTTCGCGGTCGGTCGCGTGGTTCGACCGGTTGTCGGTGCCGCTCGACTTCGGTTCGGGCTTGCGGAGCGATTTCCAGGGCTCCATATGCCTGGTTCCGCCGACACTTCTCGCACGGTTTACGGGGCCAATAACGGGCTATGGAATTCCACGGCACCATCGTGCGCTGGTGATATGGAAGGAGGATGTGAAAGAGAGGGAAGCTGGTCGTAATAACGACGAAGCCAGGGGATATAAAATATTATGTGTTATAAGTATCGGAGTAGTCGGGGCCTTTGGGATAGTTAGCTATGGCACAATGAAAGTCCCTCGCGCACAATCGGTCGTTTGCTGTCAGACAGGGGAATTTCGGATTTCTTAAGTTCCCCCGCCGTCTGAGTTGTTCATTTTCCCAGTATTCTAGATATTCCGGGTCCTTCAGGCTCTCACGATCGGACATCCAAGAGGGAAATCACGCAGCTATATCCGTTTAGTAAGCTCGGTCCCCTGCATCCTTATACAGGGTTAAGGCTGACTCGTGCAGACGAGCGTGTACGTGGCGACTCGCGACTCGACTTTCTCGAGATCACGGTCGTACGCGAGCGCGCATGTGAGAAACAGCGGATTGGTTCAATGTATCGATCGCGTTCGGCATACATGCAAATTTCCTACTCATGCTACGTTGGGTGAGATCCTGTCATTACATGCCATATATGTAACGGACAATAGGAAAGAGGGAAAAGGACAATCAACTTCTTGGTGATCGAAAGTTAACGATTAAACCCCAACATCCATAACGAGCGCTCTCAATCAGATCTGAGCGCAAGTGAATAGTAGACAAAGACGAAGCAGGAATCGCAAAACAAGATTGGGAATCCGAAAAGATCACAAATTGAAAGGGAATTCACATTCATTCCATGCGTACATATGGAGTAAAAACGACAATGAAAATTCGAGACGATTTACAAAAAGAAGTTCAAAAAGGTCGCGATAAAATCGGCCATATAAGGATCCAAAATTATACAGATGAACAAAGGAAAGAACCTCATCCCACGCCCACAACTGCTCTCTCTCTCTCTCTGTCTCTCTCTCTGTCTCTCGCTCTCTCTTTCTCTCTCTCTCTCTATCTATCTATCTCTCTCGCTCCGCTCTACACCCCCGGTACCGGCAGTCCGTCGCCGCGTATCAACGCAGAGTTGTCACCCCGCTTGGTTCGAGCATGGAAGCCAGGTTTGCTCATGCGCCACAGTCCGTCGCGGCCCCGCACGTCAACCCCGCATACCCGACAGCAGCTCATCGGATCGCCCAACTCTCGCACTCACTTACCTTCCAAACTTGCTCGTTATCTGACCCTCACTGATCGCGCTAACCTCAAAATTCTTAGAGCGCAAACTAATCGCGCTTGCAAAATTTATATCATACATGCTTGCGCGAAAGGTACGTGATTAAGCCCAAGTGGACAAGAGGAGAAGAGAGGAAGTGCCTACGTCTGCATGGCCAGGCCGCGGCGTGGGGGTCGTAGCCGCACTCCACGCACCGATCTGGTCATGCAAGCACTCAGGCCAATTAGAACGGAGCATCAAGCATGCAAGACAAAGAAGAAGAAGGCGGGCAAATACGAGGAAATCAAGAAAGAAGAAAGATACAGTTACAATCGCGCGTGCCAAAAGCGATAGTTGCACATGATTAAGGGCGCGATCCAGTCAGAGCCCAGTTCCCAGTGCAACAAGATGTGCGCAATCGTGACGCAACAAAATTCAAAGTACGTAAATTCCTAGTCTAAGTCCTAATTGCAGAGAAAATTCTGAATAGGCAAAAGAAAAACAATTCCGCGAGCCCATAGGGGTTCGACATCAGTTGAAAATTCAAAAACAATATTCTCGCGCGATGATCGCGCCAAAATTTCCAGTGCTCACAACAGAACAAGAAAAAAGCGATGGTACAGTTCTTTCTCGCGCTCGCAAAGGCGCGGCTACCCAACCGTTGGCACGGGATTTTCCCGACACCGATCTGACAACTTCCAGCAGAAAACAAAAAGCAACGAGGGCATCCAGGCAACTAGCCCGCCCGACCCATCTTCCCACAACTCATCCATTCGACCCGTCGTATTTCCCCAAGCAGCTTCGTGCAGAAATTTGCGCGATTACAGAAAATAGATCGTCACATATGTGACGCCCAAGGGGTTCCAATCTTGAGCAAGCTCCTGCTTGCTCTCATCAGGCGCCGATCGGTTGTCCGATGATGGATGCGGAGCTGACACGTGCCACTTACCGTAGGATCCGAGTGTGGAAGTCATCGAAGG